AATACGGATATACTATCCCCCGTCACTCCGATGCGCCCGCACACCGGAAATGCTCTCCTCCGTCTCCTCCCCCACATAACTCTCCACGACCCTTTCTTGCCCCGCCTGCACGGGCCCCCCCCCATTATCCGTCTCCTCCTGCATGCCTGCTCCATTGTCTCTGGCGTCCTTGATTGTCTTTGTGGTGCTTCTTTGTTGCAAGGCCTGCAAGCTCATCCAGTACGAGGACGACGGCAGCGCCTTGATGGAGACCCTTGGGGAGATTCCCATATGCATGACGTGGGGGCAGAACGCGGCGAAGCATTTGCCTGGAGTGAAATTTGATGACCTTGTGGCTGAGAAGGATGCCGATGACACCGAAGCTGACGCCCCGGTCAACAACCTGCACGCCAACGACGAGAACAGGGGGCTCATGGACACCATCGCTGTCGGCGACGCCAAGCAGGTGGAGCAGTCCATGTACACGAAATACTCGGGGTCGACGTTCTCGGAGGTCCTCCGCGAGTTCGGCTTGACCCCCAAGATGTTCGATATCAGCCCCTCCGTGTTCTACACCGCCAAAGGCAGGGAGGTCATCTACGCTTGCGAGCGCGACGAGAAGTTCGAGAAAAAGTACCCCACCGTCAAGATCGGCTGCTCCAGCAACATCGCGGTGACCACGAGGAATGCAGACCGCGGCTCGCGGGCCCTCTTCCCCAGCCAGGGCCAGGCGATGCTGTCTGCTGCTGGCTCTGGGACGGTCAGCGCCGGGAAAGACGTGGAGGGGCCAGCCGTGCAACACATGCGGCTCAGCATCAAGACCAATGAGCAACTTACGGAGTTGTCTGAAAAGCTGAAGGATGCGAAGGCGAGAAAGGCAACCTCGAGGCTGGAGGCCAAAGGCACGACAGATCTCCTGGAGGTGGATGACGGTATGGACTCGGACGTGGAGGGTATGATGGGTGGAGTTGGCTCCGATGGGAACGCCTGGAAGGGCCCCTCGCCCGTCGCCATCGCCGACCACGTCGAGGGCTGGTCCAAGGGCGAGTGCGCCGACGTTGGCACCGAACCCCCACATTTTGCGGCACCCCTGTTTACTGGATGTACGAGCTGGACTTTGACAGGGCCTTCGATGGATCGAAGCTTGGACAGCTCCTCAATCACGCAGCGCCCCTCATGCCCAAGAACGACGCGGCCGAGCGCAGCCAACTGACGAGGAGGATGGATCTCGCAAAAGTGGCCGTGCCGATGAACTGCGACAACTGCCACCAGTTGAAGGATGAGGAGCTCATCTCCAAGGTCAACGAGCTGGCGAAGGCGGGGGCGAAGCCGACTCTGAAGTTGCGGGTTGCCCTCACCAAGCGGCACACGAACAATACGTTCGCCAAGATCGAACAAATGACCGAGCTCTCTGAGATCAAGGCCGAGCTCGTGGACTACCTGAGCCACATCTGCATGTGGAACGCGTCTGCGAAGAGGGTGCTGGACGAAGGTTGCGCCCCTAAGCCGCCGTTGCGACACACTGGCCTGGTCGACCAGCAGCCAGCGCAGGTGCCGTTCTTGCCCAACTCACGCTTCAGCCAAACACGAACCATCTTTGCAATTGTTACCCCCCCCCCCTCTTTCTTCAGCGACGGGAGGGGTTAAAGCAGGGGATGGCGAGGGGGGGGAGGGGGGCATGGGAAGTGGCGGCTGGGATAGCGAGGGCAAGTCCACAATGAGAGCGAGGATTAGGACGGCGAGGAGGGGAGATGGGGGAGGGAGGGATGTGGTCAGTCAGGGGGCCAGCCTGGAGGAGGGCTGGGGGGTGGTATAACATCAGTCGACGCTTGCCCCCCCCCCCGTCTCCCACCCGCTGCCCGAAATTCAATTCATCATTGCATGATTCTGCTCGCCAGGTGTTTCGCGACCCCGCCATCAAACACATGTTGTTGAAGTTCGCTTGCGCTGGACACCAGCATGCCGTCCACGTTCGAACGTTCATCCAGGCGGCCACTGAGGCGCGGGGGAACTTGCCAGAGGAAGCCGGCCTCAGAGACCGCTGCGCGTTGGAGCTTACTAGCAGCAATACTGTCATCAGCTTGCTGGCCTTGCTCCAGTCGGACTCGGCGTTCGACGTCGTCACTGCGGAGCCCGAGGTCATCGAGCTGTTGCAGACTGCGCGCGTCAAGGCTGCGGAGCTGTCGCTCGACCAGTGCTCCATCACCATGACGGCGGCGGCCGTTGCCACGTGCAAGCACTGGAACGATAGGATCGAGAGCAAGGCCAAGCTTGGCCAAGGGGGGCGTCCAAGATGAAGCTCGGCTACCTGAACTTGCGCACCGTGGAAGCCAGCGGCACTACAGCTACAACGAAGGTGTTGAGTGCAGCCTCCCGCGACCTCGGCGTCTGGGAGGCGACCTCGGGACCTGGGAGCGTTGACGACCTCAAGGGCGAGGTCATCAGTGAGTCCGCTCAGGCCGCGACGGCGCTGATGACCCAGCTCCGCAACGGGCCTGTCATGGAAAATCGCCGAGCGCCTAGGGTCCTTCAAACAACTCTTCAGGGATGTGGGCGAGCTAGACCCGATGAACGATTCGCTGACCCGCATCAGCACTGATATCGGCAAGGCGCTGGCTGATCTGGACCTGTCGGCGAAGCACGCCGTCCTCGACGCACGCATTACCAACTGGAGCTTCTCGGCCGAAGCGTCGACGACCGCTTTGAAGGAGGCCATCGCGGCGTGCGACGGCAGGAGGCTGCCCGAGGGTAGGACGACGCTGGCCTACGAGAAATGCATGGAGATTGTGGAGCACGTTTCCAAATCGATGCGGGGAGACAGCGCCAAGGAGTTCCAGGTTGTAGATGTGCACACGACTCGGGATTCTGGCGAAGATCACTATTCCGAGACCGAGCAGAAAGTCGCAAAGCTTGCGCCTCTTCTCCAGTACGCTGGCGCGACGCTGAAGCAGCTCAACGCTCTGCGCTCCCAGGCTCCAGGTGCAATGCCCGAGGATACCGACGCCACGCCGTCCATCGAGTCGACCAGCGTTGCGGCCTGCGGCGAGCTCTTTGGCCGACTTCCCCATCATCAAGGCGAAGGTGCCGCTCTTGTTGGAGACAACGGCTGCGGTCATCAGCGGGGGCGGCCTCAGGATCCGCAACAGCATCCTGAAGAAAATTCGCACGGGGCTTTCGTCGCAAACGGAGGCCCTGGAGAAAATGGAGGCGCTCAAGCAGTGGAATGCGATGAAGGCGATATCAAGGTCATCGATGAGTTCGTTGACCTCTACGAGAAGTCGCTGAAGACTGCTGACACCCAGTTCATCGAGACCTCGAGCGATCAGATCAGTGACCTGGTCGGGAAGTCCGTGGGCACGACGAACAAGTACAGCCTCAGCGGGGAGGGCGACTACGTCGATGAGATGAGGACGAAGCTCGCTGAGGCCCGTGCGATGCGCGCTACAGATATGATCATGGAGTTCCTCGCCACCCCGAGCGCCATGAAGGACAAGGTCGCCATGCAGCGGAAGGCCCAGGCGGCCGCGCAGAAGCTCAAGAGGTGGAGGGTGGACCCGAGCACGATGGACGCCGTGGTCGTGGCCCGCTACAAGCAGGCCTTGAAGTACAAGTGAGGCGGCGGCGGCGAGCAGCTGACCATCGCGCCCGCCTGCTTCGAAGAGGCAAGGCTCAAACAATGTCGTCGTCGTCCCTTCGTCCTTCCAGCCTTCCGCTCCTCGTTTTCGTCGTCGTCGTCGTCGCCGTCGTCTGAGTCGTCGGCCGAACGCCTCGCCGACGACGTCTTCGCTCGACGCGTCGTCGCAGACGACGACAAGCGACGACGCCGAGGATGACCGACGACGGTCGACGACGATTGACGAAGATCGACGACGATGTCGGAACCGACGTCGTGGGTCGTCGCTGCGTTCGACGGCGGCCGACGTCGATGCCGAAACCGACGTCCCCGCTGCCGCAGAGCGGTGCGGGGGTGGAAAGGGGGAGGGAGGAGGGGAAGGGGCAGGGAGGAGGAGGGGAGGGAGGGGTGGAAGGGGGGGGGGGAGGAGGGGGGGATGAGTGCGGATGAGTGCGGGCCAAAACGGATCACGACCGCCTACGCTCTCGTGCCGTGGGAGCGTCGGGCCGCTTCGGGCCGTCCCCGAGCCAGACCCTAAACTCCAGGAGCCCCTACAGGGGCTGGTTAGTGGTGGAGGGGTGTAGCCCGCTCCACAACCGCGTCAGCCTACCCCGATCACCCTTTGGGCCCCAGGGCGACATGGGGAGAATAGGCCCGTCCACCTGTCGCGGGCGTACCTGGCACACCTGCGGCAAAAGACGTACGTGCTGCGGGTCACGATTTTGCGCCCCGCTCCCTGGGCTCTGTCGACCCTGGTGCACCCCCAGTCCAGAGCGGCCCGAGACGGGAGGTCTGCCACCAGGGGCGGGGCAGGGGGGTCAGGGGCCACCAGGGCCCCGCCCTCCTCGCCCGCGACCGCCCCCAGGTTCCCAGGAAGGTCCAGGAGGTCCGAGGGGGGGTCGGGGGGGTTCGAGTCCGTCGGACTCGAGCCCTGCTCAGTGTCGACAATATCACGGCCCAGGACTCCTATATAGGCTCCGAATTCCAGGATGTCCCGAACCAGTCGATACTTCTGAATGTAGCTCTCTCTACACCAGACAGGGTGGGTATGGCACAGAGCTCCCTGCTTGGCATACTGATCAGCAATTCTGTTGCCCTCCCACTGCGCGCGCCCGATAGCTGCTCGCTCGGCGCGCGTCGCGTGGGCCTTCACTTTCAGCACCTGCACGGTGCGCGGGCCCAGGCCTCCGAGCTCTGCGATGGCCTGGTCGATGCACTCCCAGAGGTCGAGGCGCGGGCGGCTCCTCTTGTCGAGCCACGCTGGTCCTGCCGTCACGCCGTCGACGACGTTCTGGCAGTCGGTGAAAATGCGCATGGGCGGGGTGCCCACTCGCAGCGCCTGCAGCAGCGCGTAGAGCTCCGCCCGCAGGATGCTCTGGACCCACTGCGCGCTTGGGAGGGGCCCGTAGCACACGTAGTCCATGTCGCACTCGTCGTTGTCTTTGAGCTTGGTGAAGCTCCATCCCCCTCGTCGCAGTGGTGCGTAGTCGCCGAACTGCAACGAGCCGTCCACGTAGATGTCCCCTGTCGCGAGGCCGTCCCAGTTGCCCTCAGTGAGCCAGTCGTCGCACGAAGCTAACTCCCAGAGCCCGAGTTCGTCGGCGGGGTCGGCCGTGATGCCGCGCCCCCAGAGAGCGTCGGCTCCTGGGCCTGGCCAGGGGTTGGCTCCTCGCTGCTGAATGTGGAGGCCTCCGACGACATCGCGATGTGGCTGGCGCGCTGGGCACACGAAGGTGCGGTGCCCGCCGGCGCCTGGTGCCAGCCCGCACGCTCTGCATGTGCTGTCGGTTGCTGCTCCTGCTGCGTGTAGCCGCGCCTGCGGCCACGTCCCTCCGCAGAACAGGCCCCTCACTCGAGTGCGGTGGGCCTGCGCCCAGCGGCCCTGGAGGGGCCGTCGTAGTAGTGCTTGCGCCGGTGCCAGGAAGATGGAGGTGATGCCGTACTGGCGGCCGTACTGTCCCACCCACTCGTCCTGCAGCTGCTTCTCCGCGGTGCGTGCGACGTGGTGCTGGATCTCCTGCAGCGTGGTGTAGCGGAGGTCGAGCACGTTCCCGTCGATGGTGACCGTGTGCGAGGCCTGCGTCATCCAGCCGAGGCGCCTGACCGTCGCCACGAAAGCCCCCGCTGGCCCCCGCACTGTGAGCCAGGGGGCCTTGCACTTGTAGATCTTCATCACCCAGGTGCGCCACGCGCTCTGGAGCCGCGCGGCCAGCTGGTCGTCCTCGAGCGCTTCCTGCCACGCCGTAGCCCAGGCCATGATGGGCCCGCTGTTGGCGAGGATGCCTGGGTCGGCCCTGTCGCTGAGCAGCGCGAGCGCCGTGGACCTTCCCTTGTTGTTGCCCTCCATCGCCGCCGCCACGTTCTTCCTGAGCTCGGTGAGCTTGGAGTCTGCCATGCCGACGACGGAGGACCCGTAGAGGAGGGCTGGCACTTTGGCTTGTCGGATCAGCTTGTGCGTCGCTCCTCCTGCTCTGCGCACGGCTGCCACCCGTGCTTCCCTCGCTGCAAACTTGAGCGCCCGCTTGTTGATGGCGGCCACTCTCCTCCGTCTGCATGCTGTTGCTGTCGCTCCCAGGTGCTTCTCGTGCTTGACCACTCTCACGCCGAGATGCCTGGTACTCTTGTTGATGTGCTGGCCCAGCGCGGTGGAGGAGGTCAGGGCGACCGTCTTCCCCTCCGCGCCCCGCGAGACGGCCATGTCCAGCGTCGTCTCGAACATGGAGACCACGGCCGCGATGAGCCGCGGGTGGACCTCGTCGACGTAGTCGTGCCTGCCGTACGTGGCCATGGCGAGGTCGTCGAAGAAGAGGCACGTGTCCGCCCAGGGGAACTGGTGCACCAGCCTGTCCAGCTCGAGGATGATCACCATCTTGAGACAGAAAGGTGCATACCTGCTGCCCGCCACGATGCCGCGCTGCCACGCCCTGCCGTCGGTGTAGTACCCGTCCAGGACGACGCGCCGCACCATGCTGTAGATCTTGAGGACGGTCCGCATGACGATTGGATTGAAGCCCCATCTCTGCGACGCCTCCCAAACCTTCCGATGGGCGACCCACTCGAAGCACTTGATCAGGTCGAAGCAGGTCACCGCATAGTCGCGTCCGTCGGCCCGCGCGGCCTCACAGTAGAGTGCCTGTAGCCATGCCGCGCGTTCCGACGATCTCCCTCGGCGTGCCCAGTCATAGGCTCGCTTGTTTGCTGCCTCCCAGCGCCTCGCGTAGGGAATGCGGATGGTCTCCCACAAGCGCGCCAGCTCGGGGATAAGGCCCAGGCTGCGGAAGCCACCTGCCGCCTTCGGCGCGAGGTAGAAGAGGATGGTGGCCTGCGACGTGGGCCAAGGCGCCCCCCGCTCCACCGCGCTGAGCACGCTTGCCACGCGTGCCGCACCTGAAAACCCGCCATGTCGCCAGAGACGCGGGTGCCAGTCTGCTTCTCCCAGGCCTGTCCCAGCGCGGAACCGCCCACAAGCCTCGATGACGTCCCTCGGGGTGATCCGCGGGACCCTGTGCTCGCTTCACTCGTCGTCGCTGGGGGCCTGGCACCACGGCTCGTCGGCGTTGTAGCTGTCCGCCCAGACCGTCTCCCAGCCCTCCAGCGCCGTGTCCGCTGCCACCTGCGGGTGCGTGAGCTCCTGCTGGGCGCGGGACTCTGTCGGCTTGATCGGGGCCCACGGCACAGGCGGCTTAGTCCACTTGTGCAGCGCCCCCGCTCACGCCTGGCTGTGCATGGTCACCCAGCGTCGCCAGTCTCGGGTCGCTCCCTGTCGTACTCGCCGCCAAGTGTGCTGGTTGGCTACTGTCATGAGCTTGGCCACGCAGTCCACGCAGTGCAAGCCCCTCTCGGTGATGCGCCCGGCGTCGATCCAGGCGACTGTGTTCACCAACTTGCCCCAACCGATGTCCGTGCATCGCCCCCGCCCCGTCGGTCGGCGGCGCTCTCCTGCCGCTTCCGCCCCGACCAACGGGCAGTCCTGCGAAGCCGTGAGGCCGAGGACAGGGGGGTCCGCCGAGGAGCATTCTCTGGGAGGCTCGTCATGACCTCCTCGACTCGGCGCCATGTGTAGTTTAACTCGTCCAGGTTGTCGGAGTTCTCCTGCTCGTCCATGGCGTCGTCGTTGTCCTGCTCCTGGTCGGGCTCGGCGCGCCATGCTGGGTGGTTCCGCTCGAGGAGCGGCTCGATGATGTCCTTCTCGAGGATGCCCTTGGCGTTGTTCTGGGCCCAGACCAACGTCTCACGCTTCCCGTCCCTCCACCACGCTCGCACTGCGGTGCTGACGTGTTCCAAGCGGCGCCCCAGCCATTCGGCTGCTTCCGCCCACTGCTGCTCCCGCGCGGCCTCGCGCACCGTGGGCGGCCTGAGCTGATCCCAGGCGTAGGTTGGCAGCTGCAGGTGGCCCTTGCGCTCGTGCCAGTCCAGGCCGACGTAGTTGACGTACTTGTTCAGGTGCCCCTCGTGCGCGTTGGCCAGGTTGCCCCAGTAGCGGTCCACATCCCCCTGCGCATGCCTACGGCGCCCCAGGAGTCGCGGCCGCGAGGTCGGCCCCGTCGCGCAGCCTGTGGGCAGCTGAAGTGGCCATCGCCGTTGGCGCCGCAGTACCCGCACCCAGCGCTTCTCTTCCCGTAGGCGAGGAACTCGCAGGAGCACAGGTGAGTGCGGCGCCGCGTTGTACTGGTCCTGCACGGCCACGTGGAGCGGGCCGTCCAGGAGCGTCCTGGATATGATGAAGTAGTCGCGGCGCCGTGCCTCGCCCAGTGTGACGCACGAGCCGCGCGAAGTGTCGAACACGATGACCCCGTCCATTCTCTTGATCACTCCTGTGCGCTGTAGCTCTGCTGGGCCCATGTTGAAATCGCCGCCCAGGATCCAGTACTTCCCCGCCGCCGCAGCGGCCGTAGTGAAGTTCCGAAGGATGGCCCTGTTGCGGTCTGCCATGCCCTCGCTGACCCAGAGGTAGGCTGTGCCTATGGTGATGCCCTCCTTGCCGAGGGCGTGAACCCAGCCAATCGCGAGGCGGCCCTTGGACTCGCGGGGCGAGATGTCCCACGCGTCGAGCCCCCTGGCGTAGCACATGTTGTTTGGCCGCACGGTCGCCAGGAGCACCCCTGCGCTCCAGCCCCCCCGCGCGGTGCGGACGCTAGGCGCGATGCCCAGCATCCAGCCCTCATTCTGCATGCGTTGCGTGAAGCAGGAGATGCTGTGCTCGCTAGCCTGCAGCTCCTGCGCCATGATGATGGGATACTTGTACGTGTACCTGATGGAGCGCATAGTACGCTCCAGCGTGCCGATGGAGTTCGCGTTGGTGGCGAAGAACCCCTGCCCCTGCTCTTCGTCAGGACGAAGGCGGTGCCGTCCACATGCTCTTGCTGATGGTGAGCGCGGTGCCAGGCTGCATGCCAGCCAGCAGAGGAAGAAGGTGAGGCCGATGGCGCTCGATCTGCTCTGCCGTGCAGCCTGCCTCCTGCATGATCTTGGTGATATGCGTCGCGTCGGCGTTCTGGGGGAAAGAGACCAACTCCTGCTTGATCTCCTCCTCGGCTCTGCGCTTGTGCCTCTGCTGCTTGTCGTGGGCGGCCTCGCGCGCTGCGGCGTCGGCCTCCTTCTTGGCCTTGGCGGCCGCTGCCGCTGCAGCCGCAGCGGCCCGCTCCTCCTCGGCGGTATGCTGCTGCTGCGCGTGGCGGAGGGCTTCGGCGATATTGGCGTCTGTCTCCTGGTCGCGCAGGCACTTCTTGGCTTGCTCCAGGAAGGACACGGCCGCTCTCCAGCCCTTGCCCGCCCTGGGCACGCTGAGCTCTTCGATGCGGGCACTCTGCTTCTGCAACTTCTCATCTTGTCTGGCCAAGAAGGCTTTCTCCCTGTCAAGCTTCTCCTGGGCCTCCTTGATTTCCTGCTCCAGCATCTCGACCCGCTCCTGGGTGCGTTCACGCTGCGCCTGCGTGTTGTTCCTCTCCCGGACAAGCTTGCACTCCGAGAAGCAACGTGGGATGTCGCTGCCGCTGTCGACAGCTGTCTGCAACTCATCAACTTCTGTCTGCACGATGTCGACGTTCCCCTGGACGTGCTTAGCCAAGTCTGGGTCCTCCGCATGCCGTCGAAGTTCTGCCAGGTGTACCCGTAACTGCTTGAGCGTTGCTTTGGTGGCATCCTCGGCATCTGTGTCGTCCTGGGAGCTGGCCGCACCGTGGTTCGCAGTCTTCGCGGAGTCTCGAACCTTCCAGCACTTCCAGCAGAAGTCGTAGCCGTCCCCATTCCGAGCTTTGCATCCGCTGCAAGCTCAGCCTCCATCCCGCGACTTGGAGCGTGGGGCCATGAAATAGCTCGAGAGCGCAGTGCCACTTTGAAGTTGGCGCTCTCCAACACCGTCCCGCCTCTCTGCAGGCACAAAGGCGGCTCGGCGCAACATGGCTGGAGGAGGGGGGGAGGAGCGGAAGGGGGAGGGGGAGGAGGGGCGCATGCGAGTGGGGATGGAAGGGGGAGGGAGGAGGAGGGGAAGGAAGATGAGGATGAGGGTCAGCGTCCACTATGGTTTTGTTGTTCTCGAAGAGCCCGTCGCCGACGTCCACCCAGCCGCAGCCCCCCCTCCGCCATGGGTCGTCGCACGCAGAAGAGGTGCGTGCAATCCCCCCTGCCGCTCGTTCACGAGTCTCGTGAAGACTATTTCGGGTAGTGGATGCGGGGAGGGGTCACGAGAACACTTTTTTTTTGTGTTTGTTTGTTTGGAAAAGCATGTGTTCAAGATACGTTTGGGTTTACCACCTCTTGTGGTGCCCCCCTCCTGTATACCCAACTGTTGGGCTGCTGTGGCAGATTCGAACACGGATCCTATCTGGTGGACTGCCGATGACTTGGGCCCCGTCTGGGGCTTGGAGCCGCTCATGACGGCCGTGTTCCCAGACGTTCACCACCTCATCTTCGCTTGCTTTACCCTCCAGGACCGCCACCCCTCATCCTCCCTCTGTCTTCCCCCTCCTGGATGCCACCTCGGCCAGGAGCTGGCCGAGGCGGCGCCCGTCTGCCGCTTCGTGGGCAAGCGGGCGGCCATGGCGGCGGTGGGCCTCAATGGGGTACCCCCATCCTAGGAAAGCCTGACGTCCTAGGATATGACGTCCTCCCGAGGTACGGCCACATGCACCGTTTCCCCGCGGACTACTTCTGAGCGGGGCCAGTCTGCCCCCTCTGTTCCCTCCTCCTCCTCCTCCTCCTCCTCCCCCGCCTCCTCGCCTCCCCTCGTCAACCCTCCCCTCCTTTATCCTCCGTCCTCCGTCCTCCGTCCCTTTCCTCCTCCTCTTCCTCTTCTTCCATCGGGACGCCGCGGGTGCATCGGCTTGGGATTCGAGTCTGCGCGCGACTCATCAGCCTCCGTGCGTCGACCATCACCCTATTCATCCTTCTCGTTGCCTCCTCTGCCTGGGTTGTGGACCGAGCCTGGGTTGTGGACCGTGCCTGGGTTGTGGACCGTGTCTGGGATGTGGACCGCGCCTGGGTTGTGGACCGTGTCTGGGATGTGGACCGTGCCTGGGTTGTGGACCGTGCCTGGGTTGTGGACCGTGCCTGGGTTGTGGACCGTGCCTGGGTTGTGGACCGTGCCTGGGTTTGTGGACCTTGTCTGAATCTGCCCACATATTTGGCAACGCAATGAAGAACCTCCAAGGGCACACAGCGAAACTGGAATACCTTGTTTCAGACCTGTTTTGGACCTCTGAACATGTAGTATCAAAAACCTACCAAAGACCTTTTCTGGACCTCTTTCAGAGTGAAGCCTGTCTGCCCCGACACGGCACTAACAGAAGCATCCGATGAAGCGTTAAATGGTCCTGCGATGATGGCAGAGATCGCTTTCAAAGGAGCATACAATCACCTCGGGTTTTGGCACACTGATAAGGGCACGCGCTAAACGCGCAAGAGCCAAACCTAGCATGGGCGAGCACACGAGGCCCGCAGCAAAGACGTCTCAGATGCGCCAGTTTGGCACACAGACGAAGGCACGGAAAGGCGCGAGGGCCAAACCTAGCATGGGCGAGCATACGAGGCCCGCAGAGAAAAGCAGTGTGAGGAGGAGGAGGGATCGGTGGGGATGAGGAGGGGGAGGCTTCTGTTTGAGGGGAGGGGGGAAGCGCACGCTATCCGCCTTGCACCTTCCGCTGGAAACCCAGACCCAAAGGACCCGGCGCCAAGGCCAGCTCTCGGCGTGCGATCACATGCTGCCCTGGGCCTAATCCCACCAGCCCTCTGGGCGTAGGTGGTCTAGAGCAGATCCTCTTCCACCCCTCCCTCTTCCCCCTTGGGGAGGGGTTTACCCCTCCCCCTACCCCCTCCCCTGGACCTGGACGGGGGGGGCCGCGGGTAGTTAGAGCGTCCCAGATGGCCCAAGACGGCTCCAAGAGCGCCTCAGAGAACCCAAGATGAGCTCCAAGATGGCTCAAGATAGCGCAAGATCGCTCGAGATGGCTCCTAAGATGGTTCCAAGAAGCCCAAAGACGGCCCCAAGATAACTCCAAGTGGCCAAACAGCTCCCCAAGGAGGCCCCGAAGAGGCCAAAATCGTCCCAAAACCTAAGGAAAATCAATGATTTTTGCTTTCTCGCCTTTTCGCTTCCGATGGCCATCCGAGGCCTGGAGATGGTTCCAAGATGGCCCAAGAGGGCCCCAAGAGAGCCCCAAAAGAGCCCCAAGACGGCCCCAAGAGCGCCCAAGAGCACTCCAAGAGCGTTCCAAGAGGGGTCCAAGAGGCGATTTTAGGGGCTTCCGAGGGGGGGCGCTAATTAAAGCCCCCCTCTTGTTTGATCGATCTCCTCCAAGATGGCCCCAAGAAGCGCCCAGGAAGCCCCAAGAGGTCCCAAGATGGCCCCAAAATGGCCCCAAGAGGCCCCCAAGAGGCCCCCCGGAGGCCCCCAAGAGACCCCCAAGAGGCCCCAAGAGCCCCCCCAGATGCACCCAAGATGCTCCAAGAGGCCTCGGCGAGAATGCCTAATCATTGATTCTACACAGGTTTTAGCCACATGGAGGCCTCTTGGGGGGGGGCACGGATTAAGATGACTCCAAGAGCGTCTGGGAGAGCCCAAAATGACCTCCAAGATGGCTCAAGATATCCCAAGATGTCTCATAATGGCTTCCTCTGTGTGCTGCCCACTTCTCTGATCGAGGCAATTCCTCTGGGCATCGTTTCTGGATGGGCTGGTGGGGATTCGCGAAGCGACAACAATTATTTTCGATGTCTGGCCGCGGTCTCATCGGGGATCTTCTGACCCGGGTCAATCCAGACCCGGGTCAGCAGGAAACCAAAAACTGCAATGCAGGAAACAAAAACTGCAACGCAGATCTTCGCAAACCCGGGTCAGTCAACATGTGCGGCCGCCTCGCGGCCACGAGCGGCTCCCTAACCCGGGTCAGCCAGAGGGGGTCTTCGCAGGATCCTGCAGGATCTGGCGCCTTGGCTGACCCCCGTCTGTATTGACCCCCGTCTCAAGGCTCCCGAAGTCTCACATCACGACACACTCTCCGGGGCAATGATACATGCGATCGATGCCCGAGGCGCTCAGCTGGTCGCGGACGTGCTGGCTCCGGTGCCGCCGCCAGGCGAGGAAGAGGACGTGCTGGCCCCGCCGGTGCCGCCCGCGGGCGTGCCGGCCTCGGCAGAGCGACTGGCCGCGGCTGCCCCGCGCAGCCCCGGCGGCCGCCGCACGCGTGGCGTCGGCGCCGCCGCAGGCGGCGCCCACGCCGCGCGCCTCGGGTATGCGCCGAGGTCGCTGGGGTTCCTGAAGAGCCAGTCGTCCGAGGGGGGGGTCTGGTCCTGGTCCTCGAGGGTGAAGCGGCCAAAGCAGCGGCGTGGCAGGTGGTCGTCCGCACCGCGCGCAGAGCCCATGTCGCTGCGAGAAGCCTCACCGCTTCGGCAAGTTTACCCAATGTCGGGTCGGTCCGAAATGCCGTGAGACAAAATGGCTTGGGCCAAAATGGCTACGGATTGGGTCTTTGAAATATGTTGGCATTTGCTTCGGCAGCCCAAGACGGCCCAAGAGGCCCCCGAGATCGCCACAAGATGGCCCCAAAGGCCTCCAAGATGACCTCACGACGGCCCAAGAAGCCGCCGACACGGCCCCAAGAGGCCTCCAAGCTCGCCCAAGATGATCCCAGATGGCCTCTAAGACGGCCCGAGAGGGTCCAAGATGAGAGCCCCAAGAAACTCCAGAGAGGCCTCCAAGTGCCCTCCGACGGCGTGAGACGGGCCAGAAACGCCCCAAGACGGCCAAAGTGGCCCTCCCGAAGCCCCCAAAGGCCCCCAAGACCTTGGACCGCCAAGATTTTGTCGCCCAAGGCCACGGATCGCCAAGATTTTGTCGCCCAAGACCTTGGACCGCCAAGATCGACAAGAGCACGCGGCATCTTGGTCTTGGGGCCCCCAGAACGGGCGTCAAGAGCCCCATCACGCCCCAAAAGGCCCCCAAAGGCGCCTGTAGTTCTGCCATCGACTCCGCTCGTTCTGGACGCCCAGAACGGGCACGCACAAGATGGGTACGATGCCCAAGAACACATGTTGCCCATTATGTGTTACCTGCTGTTTCCCTTCCGCCCCACCCTGATGGAGGATGATGTACTATTTTTCATGGGGTCATCTTGCAATGATCTCTTACAAATCTTCATTCAATGCATGCTTGACGGGATCTCGACCTCCGGAGACCCGCCGACTCACCCCCGACTCCCTGGTGGGTCGTCTTACAGTTTTCTCTCTCGTCGCCCCCCTACCCACCCAGCTTTGTTTTGCCGGGCGGGCGGGCGGGGCAAATACTCCTGGAGCTGGGCGGCGCAGTGCTCCCCTGCCCCCCCAGCCCTCGATCCGAACGTTTACGGACGCAACAGATTGCTGACCTCTGTGACCCAACTTGCTGACCGAAACTGGATGGCACAAGTATCCACCCTGCGCACCCGACACCAGGGCACACGCCTTCTCAAGGCGCGCGTCGGACACTGTCTGCGGCCCAAATATTCCAAACATTGCACCAGCTGAATGGCTGACCTGCCGCACGAGGTGGATAAAAGTATCTCCAGAGGTGCATCCGAGTCCAGGGCAAGCGCCTTCCCGAGGCGTTCATCGAAACTGATCGCGGTCCAATTCCCCAAACAGCGCAGCACCCTCCCTCGACGGACGGAAAGGGCACGCGTGCACTTGCGCACGCATGTTCGCAGGATGGCATAAAACACAATATGCTTCGCATATGAAGTGCAAATCAACAGCAGACGATATTGGACAAGCGGCCTTCTGTCGCAAATGGACAACGCCCGCGGCGACACCGACAGCGAGTCCAGTTCAAAATGACCAGGAATGTCTGTCGGTCTTCGTACCCACCACCTTCTGCACCCACTTCGATCGCCCCGATTCTTCCCCCTCTAGCGGATGACGCCTCGCCCCGTGCGCAC